ACAGCATGATACCTGCCTAAGGAAAAACATTTTTTAAGTTTAGGCAGAAAAAAGTCTATGTAGAAACCACATCAGAAAAAAAAATAGTTTTGACTTTTTAAAAAATAGTTTTTTAAACTAATTTATATACATGTGCATAAAAATGTTACCAACTCTGGGTCAGTGTGATGGCATAGTAAGTTAATCCTCTGCCTGCAGTATCAGCCTCCCATATGGGCACTGGTTGTAGTCCCAATTGCTCCATTTCTGATTCAGCTCTCAGCTTATGTCACGGTAAGGCAGCAGAGGTTGGTGCATGGCCTTGTGCCCCTGTACCCATGTGGGACAGCTGGAAGAAGCACCTGGCTTCAGACCAGAGCAGCTCTGGCCATTTTGGATGGGAGACAGAACAAACACACAAATGGAAGATTTCTCCTTCTCCCTATGTAATTCTTTCAAATAAAGAAAGAAATCTCAGGTCTGGCATGATGGTTCAATAGATAATTCCTTGCCTTGCAAGCTGTGGGATCCCATATGGATGCTGGTTCATGGGCTGTTCCTCTTCCCATCCTGCTCTCTGCTGGGAAAGCAGCAGAGGATGGCCCAAGCTTTAGGACCCTGTATGCACATAGCAAACCCAGAAGAAGCTTCTGGCTGCTGGCTTTGATCATCTCAATTCCAGTCATTGCAGCCATTTGGGGAGTTAAGCAGTGGTTGGAAGATCTTTCTATTTCTCCTTCTTTCTGAAAATCTGCCTTTCCAATAAAAATAAGTAAATCTTAAAAAAAAAAAAAACCTCAAAAACATGTTTTTTGTTTGTTTGTTTTTGTTTTTTTTCTTTTTCCTTTTTTTAAAATTTTTATTTTAACAATCTTTACATGGTTAATTTGTGCATAAAGGGTCAAGGGCTACAGGAAAGTGGGTAAGACTATTATTTCCATATTGTTTCCTTCATATATCTGAGGTAGAGGGGGATATTGAGGGAGAAGCCCCACCTGATTTCCCACCCACCCCAAGTCCCGCATGTGGGGCATGCTCCGAGATACTCATTGAAGTGGTTTCAATAGGTCACCAGTTTTGAAATTGCTGCCAATCTTGCCTCTCCAAACACGATGAGGTTGTTGAAAAATCCATTAATTGACATTGTCCATCATAGCGTCTCTATTTGCCCAGTATTTTGTTGCTGAGGTGGTTGATTAACTTGTTCCATCTTCTGTCCCTTCATGGTTTGTGTTCTGAGTCTGGCATTTCAGTTGGGCAGATCACCAAAGAAACTTCGTCTGAGGTGTTCCCAGGCCAGATACTCGTATGCACCAGCAAGCACAGGGCCCAGCACAGTCCATCACCCGGTCAGCTGGTAGTTGCAAGTGCTAGGTTGCTTCTGTTTTCAGCCCCGCCTTCTACTGGAACCAATGGGTGTTGCAGTCCAGCCTGGTTCTGTACAGCACATACTTGGTCTTCACCCCGAAGGAAGGAAGCAGCCCTGGAACCCCGGCAGGCCCAAGCCCGGTTCACCATGTGCCCATGATGGCGGACGTATGGGATCCGGACATGAGACGCCCTGTCCCGGGACCCCTCAAAAACATGTTTTTAAAAAGCTGCAACTTATTCCTGAATCTACTCAGTATAAACAGATTAAAATGTGTGGATGCTTATACAGTTCAAACAGACCAAAGAGGTAACAGCATGTCATTATCAACCACCCCAACAAACTAAAGGCATTGTTACTGGGTCTACACCAGTTTTACCTCTGATATGGGAAACAATTTATTATCTAATAAAAATTCTCACTATCTACAGTAAGAGAATAAAAGACAGAAATATTACTCTGCATGAGTCAACCAGTTACTGATAAAAAATTGTTCTCCCCCAAACGAGATTGTGGGTGTGAAGGTTAGAAGTAGGAGGGAGGCTTGATTTTAATTACGTAACCTTTCAGACTTACTTTTTAAAATATATGGGTACAGTCCCAAACCAAAAGTAAAAATCAAGACAATAATTTTCTTTATGGTCCCAAAGTAAATAATTCTGTAAGTTTTCATAAATGGCACTTTCATACAGACTACCATATGTAGCCAGAAGAAAAGAATAAGCAATTTATGTGTATGTGTTTATGCATTTGCATTTTATGATTCATGAAGAAACCCATGGCTCTCTGCCAGACTGACAAGATAGGAAATCATCTAAATGCAAGAGAGTTTAATCCAATAACATGGATCAGTGTTAAAGAACAGAAACGATTTATTCACTTGAAAAAGGTTTTAAAGAAAATTATGTAAGATAGGACTAGCAGTTAAAATGCTCACTGTCATTCCAGAGCTTCTCCATCTGACACGTGGCACCAGCTCCCTACTAATGCACACCATGACAGGCAGTGGTAGAGCACTCAAGTAACTGGGTTCCTGTGCAGGCTTAAGCCCAGCCGTACCTTGGCTGCAACAGACAATCGAGAAAGTAAGCCAGGGGATGAGGGCTTTTTCTCTGTCTCTGCACCCGCGTGGGAGACCCAGAAGAGGCTCCCGGCTTCTGGCTTTGGATCAGCTCAACTTCAGCCATTGTGGCCGCTTGGGGAGTGAATCAATGGATGGAAGATCTTCCTCTCTGTCTCTCCTCCTCTCTCTATATATCTATCTTTCTAATAAAAATAAATAAATCTTTAAAATAAGGTGAAGTAAGAATTCAGTTATATTAAAGTGACTTAAGTCTTACACTAAATAAAGTTACAATTAGGGTTGAGGCAAATGTCTCCCACTTTTACACTCATAAGTTAGGGACATTCTGTTACTATTGTTTCTAATATAGTTTCTTGTCATAACTCTTCCAAATACCTAAACTAAATTCTAACTGGAGGAGCTGGCATTACGGCAAACAGGTTAACCTGCTGTTTGCAATGCCCACATCCTAGAATGGTGGTTGGAGTTCCAGCAGCTCTGTTTCCCTTCTCCCAGACAATGCACCTGGGAAAGCAGTTGAAGAAGGCCAAAGAACTAGGTCCTTTGTCACCCACACGGGAGAACTGGATGGAGATCTGGGCTCCTAGCTTTAGCCTGGGCCAGCTGCTGTTAGCATTTAGGGAGTAAACCAGAAGGATCTCTTCCAGCGGTGCCAGGGCCTGACTTTGCCAGCATGGGCAGGCTTGTGGGGGTCTGCAGGTATAGGCTTGCAGGCAGCTTGGAGGATGGCTCTGGCAGGGGCATGAAGGGACCTGGGGCTCATGCCCAGGCTGGTGGAGCAAGCCTGGGGATTTCCGCATGTGCTTAATACCAGGTGGGTGGAAGGAGGCGAGAAGAGAGCCTTCGGCTAGCATGCTGGCATGGTGTGCTCGTGAACCGAGTTGGAGAACTGTGAATGTGCTTGGATCTTGGTGGAGGGGTAGGGTCCCAAAGGCTAGCATGTGTGCCAGGAGCTTGGGTCCTTGGTGGTTGGCTAGAACTCCAGGCCAACACACCACCCCACCAAAAGATTGGGTTGGGGAACCCATCTACTCCGAGGTGTAGGGACTGTGAAATGCTCAGGGAAAGGGATATGTATGGGAGGGAGGACCGCTGAGAAAGCATGTTGCAGGTGAAGAATGACTTCTGGGGGACTGTACTTTCAGGTAAGCAAGGGGGCTGAGACGCAGCAGTTTGGATGGAAACTGGGGGACCTTTCTGGGTCAGACAAAGGCTCCTGCCCATATGGAAGACCTGATCTGGGTTTAATAACATCAACCATGGCCAGCTACCAGCACACATTAAAGCGAGGGTTGGGGACCTACCAGGCAAGGCTAGATTACAGTCCCCACCAGTGAGTGTCAGAACAAGGACGAGTAATGCTGGACTGGGCCATGACACTACCCAGTATGTGAGAGACTCGGGTCTGGGGTCAGATTCTGTGGGGGATAACAGGGCTCACTCCTGTGGAACTGCAAAATCTACTCGTTTGCTCAAGATCTGAAGGTAGTGACAAGCTGAGCTAGGCATAACTAGGGAATCCCAGGACACTCACTGGCATTGGCATTGTGAACAGGCTGGGCTAGTACTGGCTGGTAGTACCCACAGGTGTACTCAAGAATAGGACGTCAGACAGGCTGGGCTACAACATCCACCAGCTCACATAGAGAGAGCAGACTATGTCAGCTAGGTAAGGCTTACTTGCTTACCTGCAAGTACAGTGGCCTTGTTGGCAGAAGTCCCTCAGAAGTCATTCCTTACCTGCAACATGCTCCCTCAGTGGTCCTCCCCAGAAATGGGCCTAGTGGGGCACCTGGGGAACTCCTAACAACTAACTCAAACACACAGACGTACATGTAAATAAATGCTCATACACATTCTTATACAAAGAATACTTCTACCTAGATATGTAATGCATTAATAGCAGCTATTGCTTTTGGGAGGGAAACAAGCAGTTTAAGGGAAAAGAAACTGTTTCACTGTAAATTAGCTTTTGATGATCATAATTTCACTATGTACAATTTTTTCCTTTTTATGTACAATTTTTTTTCAATGAAAAAAAAAAAAAAACCTGCATAGGGACTGGTGCAACGGCTTGCCTGGCTAATTTTCCACCTTCAAGTGCTAACATCCCACATGGGAGTCAGTTTGTGTCCTGGCTGCTCCATTTCCCATTCCATTTCTTGCTTATGGCCTGGGAAAGCAATAGAGGATGGCCCTCATGGAAGACCCACAAGAAGCTCTTGGCTTTGGATTGGCTCAGCTCCGACCGTTGTAACCTTTCTTTGGGTAGTGAGCCAGTAGATGGAAGATCTATCTCTCTGTGCCTCTCAATCTCTCTATAAATCTGCCTTTCCCATAAATCTATTTCCAATAAATATATTTTTGAAATGCACGTAATTTTTACTTAAAAATACCTATGTATCTCACAGTTGAAGTTAGCATTATTTATTATTAAGCTAAACTCAATCATCTAAAATTATTAAAATTATATAAGCTTGAATTAGATAATCTAGAAAGTCTTATTCCCTATGTATGTTGTCTTCTCTGTGAAAAAATATTACTTTATGGAAATATTTTCCAAATTACCTTGAAAAGTCTGGGAAATACATCTGCTGGCTGTCCACGAATCACAAACAGACGAGAGTTTAATTTTCGCAGATTGGCATCAAGATCCTCAAGACACTGCAGCAAAAACCTACAAAAAAAACCAGAATGCTTAAAAATATTTATAGTGCCAAATTACATTATCTTAAAGGTTGAAATACCAATTTCATCACTTTATTACATCTTACATGTGATATATAAACAATAATTTTAAAACATTTATAAATCTTTTAAAATTACAGTACAAGATTCAATATTTTAGTATTCTTGAATTAAGTCACAAATTAAGTCATTAAATGATAGCAAAAAATTTAATTTGTATACATAAAAATTATATAAATAACTACCAAAGCAATTAGAAGAACTGATTTTGTTGTTTAAATTTGATGAAATAATCTTGAAAAATTACAAGAGAAAAATAAAAACATTCTTTTAAAATTTTTATTTTACTTACAAGTCAAAGTCAGAGAGGGAGAGAGGGAAGGAGTGAAGGAGGAGGGAAGGAAAGAAAGAGAGAGAGAAGGGTCTTCCATAAGTTGGTTTATTTCCCAAATGGCCACAATAGCCAAACTTTGCTAATTCCACGTCAGGAGCCAGGAGCTTCTTCCAGGTTACCCATGTAGGTGCAAGAACCAAGGGCTTGAGCCACCCTTTGCTACTTTTCCAAGCCATAAGCAAAGAGTTGTAATAGAAGTGGAACAGCTGGGACTAGAACCAGTGTCCACTTGGGGTGCCGATGCTGCCAGCAGATTAGCCCACCTCAAATACCACCCCCTTCTAGCCCCACTAAAATTTTATTTATTTGAAAGGAAGAGTGATAGAGATCTATTGCATCTGCTGCTTAATTTTCCAAATGGTCATAACAGCCAAAGCTAGGACAGGAGCTCCATCTGGATCTCCTGCATAGGCTGCCAGGTCTCAAGTACTTGTGGCTTCCCAAACACATCTGGATAGAGGTTGTGCAGCTGGGATGCAATCTGGCACTCGGATATGGAATATGGGCATTCTAAGCATTTGCTTATACTACTGTGCCACAATGCCAGCTTTAGAAAATATCCTATTTAATGGCTGTGAGGACAAAAATAATTTAACATCAATATTGAGAGACATAGAAATTATCTAAGCGGAATCATCGCACCCATTTTCTTCAATTCTAATCTAACTAACAAAAAAAGCTAAATATAGAAGGCTGTTTACTCTGTTCCCCTTTTTGTGAAGAAATGGAACATTTCCCAAAAGCAAATCTGAAGCAGCTATCATAATTTAAAGATTTAACCTGTTTGCTTTGTGTAAATTTTCATCTGGATTCTGTTTTTCTGAGCTAGATAAAACTTAGTTCCTTTCTACTCTGCTTCCTTTATGTCCTATATTCTTAAGGTTAAATATTTTATGTCTGCCCTTTCTACATGCTACATGTTCTTTGAGAATAGTGATTATGTCTGTCACTGGAAGAAGTGATTTAGAAGCCAGGGAAAAACATATTTCAGAAGTACATATTTCAATATGGTAACCTAAATCTAGAAATAACCATTTAAACTTAAATTAATTCAAACTTAAAATTTAGTTCCTCAGTCACACTTGAAAACAACTTTCTCTCCTTTTCATTTCTTTTTTTTTCTTTTCCCTTACTTCCTTTTTTTCATTTTCTTTCATTCTTTAAGATTTATTTATTTTTTATTGGAAAGTCAAATACATAGAGAGGAAAAGAGACAAAGATCTTCCGTCTGCTGATTTTTCATCCCCCAAGTGATCGCAACAGCCAGAGCTGAGTTGATTTGAAGCCAGGAGTTCCTCCTGGTGTCCCACACAGGTGCAGGATCCCAAGGCTTTGGCCCATTCTCGACTACTCTCTCAGGCCACAAGCAGAGAGTTGGATGGGAAATGGGACAGCCAGGACATAAATTGGCTCCCATATGGGATCCTGGTGCATGCAAAGCAAGGACTTTAGCCACTAGGCTACCATGCTAAGCCTGGAAACAATTCAATCTTCAATAGCCACATACATGGCTCAAAGTTATTACACTGGATAGCACAAATACAGAGCATTCCCATTACTGCAGAAAGTTTTTCTGTACAGTATCATTCTAAAACCCTGCTTAAGATTATTTTGTTCTCTTTGCCCATTTGAATCCAATTATTTCACAAAAAGTCTTGCTCATTCTTTTTACAACTGTAATTATTAGTGACATAAGTGATACTACTTTTAAGGTCTCTTAGTATATTTGATACGTTTGGTTCCTCTGAATGTCCCTGGGAGTCTCAAAGCAGGAAGAATATAAGTCAGAAAGCTGTATTTTTCTTCTAGTAAAGGTAATAACTTCTTTGGCTGCATGGACTGTATGTAAAGTATTGCCAAGATATGAAATTATGTTATTTTGTGATACAAATGTCCTTAAAAGTTGGAAAAGTTTGGCAGCCTAGTGGCCAAAGTCCTTGCCTTGCATGAGCTGGATCCCATATGGGCGCATTAGTGTCTTGGCTGTTCTACTTCCCATCCAACTCCCTGCTTGTGACCTGGGAAATCAGTAAAGGATGGCCCAAAGCCTTTGGACCCTGCACCCACAAGGCAGGCCCAGAAGAAGCTCCTGGCTTTGGATCTGTTCCGACCATTACAACCACTTAGGGAGTAAACAGTGAATGGAAGATCTTTTTCTTTGTCTCTTTTTCTCTCTGTAAATCAGACATTCCAATAAAAATAAATAAAAACAAAACAAACAAAAAACTGGAAAAGTTTAATGGTCCTACTGTGTTACTATCAATCATGATTGTTATCTTTATAAAAAGGAGGACCCACGGCCTAAAAGGGACAAAAGTTTTGTGAAATCTTTCAGGTGCTTTTAAAATTCTATGTGGAATGAGTTTAAGCTATTTAAGGTCTTTTGCTACCCGCAGTTTTGTATTCTCTAAAAGTTGGCAGATCTATGGAGACAAATGCTCCTGAATACTAGTTTCTGACACCTTTAAGGCTGGTGAATTAGATAAGTTAAAATATTGTTGCTTATATACATGAAAATATCAGTTTCTGTATTCAAATGTTGTGTGTGAATAAGAGTGCCCACTTTCCCTCCATATCTGGTTCCCCTGAAATGCAAAACTTTGCTTTTCTGAGGATTTTTTTTTTTTTTTGTTATTTGCTTCTCTTTGGCAAACGTGATTATTCGCATGAGTACAGCTAGAACCAGGATGAACACAGATAACTGTGTACAACCACTTGTGCAGTAAAACCCAGATGACAGGTTCACTACTGTCTACTTGGGAGATACTAATTCAGCCACCTTGCCTCCAGATCTCTCTAGGGAATCTGTACGTGACATTTAGGTCAGCCCAAGCTAGAGCAGTCCACCAGTGGGGCCTACCAAACTACTGGTTACAGCCTTCTCTGACCTGGTTTTGCCCAACAGACTGAATACATCAAAGAAGACAAAAGGGGGATAAAACTACAACTGGCTACTCGAGAACCAGGAGAAACAACAAATCAACAGAAGGCCAATCCACAGATCCAGCTGTTCCAGCCTGCAGCAGACACTGATGGGACCCCCACTTCTGTGTACCAGCCTAGAGATGTCATGTGAGTTTAAGAGATATAACCCACAGACTGGAGAATCTCGCTGAAATGACCTTACCTGTTAATCCTGAGCATTTCTATGGCTGTGAATATGTCAGGAATCAACCCCTGGATTCACCATTCACAGCTCAAGAAGGCCACATCTGAGCCGGAAGAAAAATGGACTGTTCAACACTCCAGAGGTCTCTTAAAGATAAGACTCTCTTGTTCTCTGTCATAATGCTTTTATCCTATATGAGTGGGAGCTCCAGGATAGATATTAAGAAAATTGGGGTAAATGGTAAACTTCACCAACCAGATAGGGTGTCCCTGGATATCAGATCAAGTCAATGATCTGACTTAAGTGCTAGAACCTCAGTAGGAAATGTGATGGGGGGCAGCGGGTTGATAGCCAGCACCCCATAGCAATCTGCAGGCTTGCTGGGTTAACTGACAGCAGTCAGAAAGTCGGAAATGTTTCCTCAAGTTCTGCACATGCCCTGCCCTTCCTACCTCCTCCCGGGGCCACTCAAGTTCATTGATAGCACAGAAATAGCTCTGGAGGCTCCCAGCACCAAGCCTCTCCTGCCTCCTACCATGCTACTAAGGTTAATGAACTACATGGAAACTTTAGGCCCCAGCGGCTCCTTTCCTGCCTCCTACCACTTAGTTAACTGAATGATTTATACATTGTATGTAAACTTTGTACTATGCAGCTCTCAAGCCACTGGGACAAGAACTTAAAACCCCCTGATTTTGGCTGGCCGGCACAGTGTCTCCTAGAGTGTAGCAGGAGCTGCTATCACCAAATGTGGTCAACAAAAACTCCTCTCTATAAGCCAAATTTTTGTTTATTTGTTTGTTTACAGGATGATATGAACCGAAGTTAACATGTTACAAGGGAAAAAGCTGTGCAATCTAAGAGTTAATTTTGTTTTGGCACTTGAGGAAACAAAGCAATAGAAACCGTTTTAAGTATGGCATTTTCCTTCCATATTGTTTTCTTATACAGATACTGTAATTTACAATTTACATCTGTGATTATAACCACTGTGATTATATATAAAAATTAGAGGTACAGTACCCTCAGGTATATGTACTTGGAATGATATGGGTACTTTTTACTCAAACCTTGTACACAGAAAAGATGTGCGAAGTGACAAAGAGGAAAAGGATGAACACTTTGACGTTCACTGTCATCGTGTCCAAGTTGCTGCCCAAGTTATTTTATCATGACATTTAAGACTATATACACATTTGTTGGATCTAGTAAACAATTTTTTAAAAGAAATTTACTTATTTTTATTGGAAAGTCAGATCAGATTCACAGAAAGAAGGAAAGAGAGAGAAAAATCTTCTATCTGCTGGTTCACTCTCAACTGGCTGCAACAGCTGGAATTGAGCTAATCCAAAGCCAGGAGCCAGGAACCAGGAGTCAGGAGTCCCTTCTGGATCTCCCACAGGCACAGGGTCCCAAGGTTTTGGGCCATCCTCTACTGTTCCCCCAGGCCACAAGCATGAAGCTAGAAGGGAAGCGGAGCAGCTAG